CTGTCATGATTAAATATTCATTGAACAGTCACACCATTTGTGTTGGAAAATGACAGCGATACCGCATGAAGTAAAATGGGCACAGAGGCTCTGGGAGGGACCAAGGGAATCTTGCTTTCCTCCTGTCCCCAGTCCCCAACCCTTTCATCAGATGAATATATTTCTCCCTGAGCTAAAATATTCTTGCTGTCTGAAGCAACTTTTCCAAAGGCTAGCTCCTGACTTTTCAAATTATATCCAAGTGACAGCTGCAGGCTCTTTGGGTTTCAATAAGCTGAGTTCACAGGATATAAGGACTGGCTGAGAGAAGAGGCAGGGCTGAGGCTTCCTGCTAGCAGAGTGGTGTGGCTTCCATTCTGCCACCGCTTCCCTGCTAAGGTCACTGGTGGTCTCCCACAGGGCATGGCATCCCTATGCCCTCTCCTGAGTTCTGAGCATTTGAAAAATTTTTTGAACATTTATTTATTTTTGAGGGACAGAGACAGAGCATGAGCAGGGGAGGGGCAGAGAGAGAGGGAGACACAGAATCCGAAGCAGGCTCCAGGCTCTAAGCTGTCAGCACAGAGCCCGATGCAGGACTCGAACTCACAAACTGTGAGGTCTTGACCTGAGCTGAAGTCAGATGCTTAACCGACTGAGCCACCCAGGCACCCCTGAGTATTTGGCACCATGGCTCCAGAGGTTGGAGACTCCCTCTTCCAAGGCTTCTGGGACACCACTTCCACTTGGTTCTTCTAGCTCTCTGCAGAATTTGCCCTTATTTTGCTGACTCTCCACCCAGATGCTCCCCATAAATTCTGTGTTTCTGTCTCTCTTGGCTCCAAACATTCTCCCTGGATGATCTCATTTATCTCCTGGGTCATAATCAGTAATTGTAGTAGGTGGAGTGATGGCCCCACAAATATGTGCCTGTCTTAATCCCTATGTATGGCTGTGTAACCTTGCCTGGAAAGAGGGAGTTTGCAGATGTGGGTAATGTAAGGATCACGAGACGGAGCCATTACCCTGCATTATTACTGAGCCCATAGTAATCACAGGGTCTTCATAAGAAGGAGGCAGGAGTGTTAGGGTCTCACAGAAATCCATGTGACAGCAGAGACAAGGGACATAAAGAGATTGGAAAATGCTGCACTGCAGGTTTTTGAGACAGAGGATGGGGCCAAGAACCAAAGGATGCAGGCAGCATCTGGAGACTGGAAAGGCAAGGAAGCAAAAGAGATTCTTCCCTAGAGTCTAGAAGGAACACAGTCCTGCTGATGTTTTGATTTTAGCTCCGTGGAACCCATTTTGGATTTCTAACCTTCAGAATTGTAAGATGATAACGTTTCTGTGGTTTTTGAGCCAGTAAATTTGTGGCAATTTGTTATACCAGCAATAGGAACCTAAAACAGTGATCTACAGAAGAGAAAAGAGCATGGTTTGAGGAGTGATTGGGTAAGTACTGGATCATGGTTCAATCATATTGATGACTTCTTCCTCACAAATTGGACTCAAAGGAGAATTAAGTGATCATTCATTTACTCCACTTATTTGGTCCATTCACCAACATTTGCCACATGTAGACTGTGCACCTGGCATGGCAGGTCCTGCTTATATAAGACATCTCTGTCTTCAGAGCCACGGTGTCTAGAAGGGGATATAAGCATATGAGAAAGAGCACTATTGTTCTTCTGTAGTGCCTGGAGCCCAGCAGGCTCATGGCAAGGAGCTTTGGGGCATAGACAAAGAGACGTCTGTGCAGGGGACAGTGGAGGCTCCCAGGAAAGTGGATACTTCTCCCGTGTTGTGAGGACACTTCAGAGAGGGTGAAGTTTGAGCCATGTTTTGGAGGAAAAGGAGTGTGGGCACAGGGGGTAATGGCAGAGTGGTCTTTCCAGAAGAGAAAGCCCATTGAGAAGAGGCATCTGAGCATCCCAGAGTGTGGGGTCGATGGAGAGTTTTGAGTCATCCTCTATGGGTAGAGGGTTCAAGCCTGTGTCAGGAAAATGCACATGAGGGAAAGGGAAGAACCAAATCATAGAAGATCAGACCCTGGGTGTCCCAGCCAAGGAATTCAGACTTAAAAAAAGAAATTGTACTTTCTCAAGAAAATGGGAAGACAAGCCACAGAGTGGGAGAAGATACTTGCAAAAGACGCCACTGATAAAAAGTTGGTATCCAAAATACACAAAGAGCCCTTAACATGTAATAACAAGAACCTGATTTAAAAATGGGCAAAAGATTTGTGCCCAAGTAAGATATACAGATGGCAAATAAGCATATGAAGAGATGTTTCATATTCTTTGCCTTCAGGGAGTTGCTAATTAGAGCAACAACGAGGTGTTACTACTATGTATTGGGATGGCCCAAATCCAGAACCCTGGCAACAGCCAAGGCTGGTGAGGCTGTGGGGCAACCCGAGCTCTTTTTCATGGCTGGTGGGAATGCAGGATGGTACAGCCACTTTGGAAGACAGTTTGGCAGTTCCTCACAAAAATAAACGTGTTCTTGCTATATGATCCAACAACTGTGTTCCTTGGTATTTACACAGACGAGCTGAAAATGTATGTCCACACAAAAACCTGGCCGCGGATGTTTATAGTGTCTTTATTCATTTGTACCCAAACTCGGAAGCAACCAAGATGTCCTTCAATAGGTGGATGAGTAAAGAAACCATGGTACATCCAGACAATAGAACATAATTCAAGGCTAAACTGAAATGAGACATCGGGCCACAAAAAGACATGGAAAATTCATATCTCTGAGTGAAAGAAGCCAACCTAAGAAGGCCACACACTGTTTGATCCCAGCTGTATGGCATTGTCAAGAGGCAAAACTGTGGGGAAAATATAAAGATCAGTGGTTTCAAGGAGTTGAGGAGGGGAGGGATGAATAGACAGAACACAGAGGGTGTTTAGGGCAATCAGGCTGTTCTCTACGAAGTTATAATGGTAGATACATGTCATCGCAGATTTTTCAAAACCCATAGAATGAAACACCAAGAATGAACCCCAATGTAAACCATAGACTTTGGGTGACAAGGAGGTGTCAGTGAAGTTTCCTCAGTTGTAACTAATGTGCCCTCTGATGTGCAATGTTGGTAATGGGAAGGCTCTATTATGATGATGGTGGTGGTGGTGGTGGTGAGAGACTATATTATTAGCCTCATTTGACAAATGAGGAAACTGAATTTAGAAAATGGAAGAAAATTGCTCAAAGCTAAACGGGTGGCATATACTTCCCCATATGATGGAGGAGCAGAAGAGGCCCAGAGATGTCAATTAACTTGTCTTGGGTCACACAGCTATCAAGTAGGAGAGTTGAGACTCAAATCTAGCTTTTGAACACAGAAAAAGTCAGAACTTTTCTTAACTTGTTCTTAACTATGGCCTGGGATTGTCCTAACATATTGCTTCCCTCTATTGCATGAGGGGGGGAATTCCAGAAGGTGGAGGGGCTGAACATTATTGACGCAATGGGGAACACCCACCCACTCAATATTTCTGAGGCTTTTCGGATCCCAGATTCATCCCATCGCATTACCAGTGTTTAACTGTTCCTCTCCTCTGGTAGGCTGTAAAGTCAGTGAGGTCAGCCCTCACATGCCAGTTTCATGCTAGGCCCCAAGAGGACTTGCATGCTTCCATTCAGTCTTTTTGCACAGCTAGGCTTCCTTGTGTTTCCACCTTGGCCTTGCTGTGAGAACTTGCTTGACCCAGCCTGCTGAAGGAGAGGGAAACACACTCATGGAGCATGAGACCCATGGATGGGAATCAAGACACCATAAGGGATAGCCCTCCAGATGTGACAGTCACCTACCACTGCCTGCAGACACATGAGGAAGATAAGTGGTGATAAGAAGAAGCACCAAGCTGTGCCCAGTGAAAATTGCCGAGCTGCAGAACCATTAACTAAATAGATGGCCAGTGTTTTAGGTCACAGATTTTGGGTGGTTTGTTTCACAACATAGTTAATGTACACACAGGTGCTTAATAGGTATTTAATAAATGAAGGAAAGAAAAATAGATCCCATCCATCCTGAACTCAGGAACTGAATGTTCTCCTTGGTTCCTCACTGCAGGGAAGACAGTGGAGCTGATCAGCAGAGTAGGCTGGTTGGGAAATTTTCTGGATGAGGAGACTGAGGCTCTGAGAGGCAACTTGCCCAGGTGACAGGCATGAGATAATGGAGCTGGGACCAAGACCTCAAAGTTGGCCACAAAACCCATGCTTGCCCCCTTACTTGCTTATTTTGGTTATTTGCAGCTTCCACAGAAGGAAAGGATAAACTCAAGTTGTAGCTGCAAGTCTAGTCCACAAACCTCCCATCAAGAGTAAGTGCTTGAGCCTCATTTTACAAACACTGAAACCAAACATTTTGTGCTAGACTGCAATGCGTGATGGTGTCTCATGTAAGAAATTGCCATTTGACCTTTTTCAACACTAATCACACAGAAGAGGCAGAAGCATACTTGGAGGTAATAATCATGAGAGTGATTTTTTTTGGGGGGGTGTCGCTTCTTTTATTTATCTTTCTCATAAGTGCTAAGCACAAGTGAGATGTAATGTAGAAATTATCGTGTAAGGAAATCACTGTTCAATGCAGATATTGCGTGTTGAACAGCTTGTAGCTCATGGTCAAAGCACCATCAGTTCTGAAAATTGTTGTCCAGCTCTGCAATTACCCTGAGCTTTATGTCTGACTTCTTTCTGACAAATCAGGGAAAGAGAAGGAGCTCCAGATATGGTGGTTCCTAACACTCTGTTTCAGTCTGATGTCCGTGATGAATTGAATGAATCGGCTTCAGGATTTTTAAAGAACCCACTGACCATTCTGTAGAGTTCACACTACCACACCAGCCTCCAGAGTAGAATTATATCAACTCCAGACAACTTGGTGATTTCAGTCTTTCCAGGAGCTCGGAGAGCACTTAGCTGCATCTCTAAATAACACATGCTATTAGAACTTTATAATTATTACTTCATAAAGCCGCATTGGACACATCACTTCAAAGCAAGGGGAGAAAATAATCAGAAGTTACAGAGATGAGGAAAGCTTGTGATCACACTCAACCTGGATAATGTGAGCCTATCTTATGTAAAGTTTACATTTTTAATAACTTTTTGCTTTCATTTTTAATGTCTTTATGCCTTCTGTTGTATTCCTCCTCTCCACCAACATTTTCTGTATCTTTCCCTTCTAAGTATAAACATAAGAAGAAAACCACACCACTTCCATGCATCAGTGGGAAGAGAATGACCTTTTGGGTAGGGTTACCTAGATTTACCCTGTTGTTGAAGATGGTGGGGTTAAGCAGCATCTGGGATAGGCCACTAAAAACCATAAGAACAATTGTAGCTGCTACTTACATTGTTGAAAATATGTTATATATTTGACTTGAATTAAATCTTATAATGACTTCATGAGACAGGGATTATTATTGCCTCATTTTATAGATGAGGGAATGGGGCACAGAGAGCTGAATTTAGTCAAAGTCATGTGGCCAGTAAGTGACAAAGTTGGGATTTGAACCCCAGCAACCGATATCTCCCATTACCTTTGGAAAGTTGGAGTTTTTGTACTAACAAGCCCACCGATGAGCCGGCCCGTATTCAGTTACCCAATCTGAGCCACTGTCACTGCTTTCTTGTCACCTAGTATATGTCAAGGCCAACAGTAAGCCAGCCCATATTCAGTTACCCAATATGAGCCTCCATCACTGTTTTTTGCCACCTAGTATACGTTGTCAAGTACACGGTATAAAATGTTTCCAAATTAGAGTCCTTCTCTGTTCCCTCTCTGACAGCCTGGTGTCAACAGCCCCCTGCTCCAGGAATAGCTCTTTAGCAATTGCAGAAATATTCTTTCCCTCCCTCCTCCGCTGGCTGGTTTCCAAGTGCTCGGTTATGGGTTTGGGAGTCTACAGAGTGTGAATCTGTGGGATAAAACACAATTTGGAGCCACAAAGGAAGCTAATCTTGGCAGTTGGGCCCAGAAGGAAGCAAAGGCATCTGGCCCATGTCTCTCTGGATTTCCCTTCTACAGAGAGACACAGGTATTTACACAACATCTTTCCCCAAGTGCTCGGCAAAATTGCTTGTACTAAAGTCAGCCATGTTATCCAAAGCGGAAGCTAAAATCCTTGAGCTTTGAAGACAGACATGATCTCTCCCAACCCTGCCCCCTTATTAACCGTGTTAACTTAAGGCAGTTACGTAACCTCTAGGGCCTCAGTTTCCTCGTCTGTAAAATAGAAGTGGACTTTTTTCTACAGAGTTCTGTAAAGCTTATGTCAGATATTACATGGTGAGCATCTGGCTGAGAGCCTGCTCTTCCTGCCTTCTCTTTGAGGATCTCCATGTGTCTGTTCTTTCTGCTCTCACATCAAAAGCCTTTCTCTACCATTCGGATACTCGTCCACATAGAAACGGCGCATGTGAAATAGGGTCTAGATAAACACACGCTGGACCCATCGACTCCTACAGACATGTCTTGTGTGTCTAGAATTGTAGTGTCTTCTAGCAGTGGTGCTGGGTGACCTTAAGGTGGAAGACGGTGTCATCTGTACAGTTTGCTCTCTGATGGAGTCATACCTAAGGGAAAGAGTGAGAAAAATAGAAAAAAATTTTGGTGGGAAATGCATGTTGTGGAAATGATGTGTACTGTGTAAATAAGTAATAGCTGTGCTCCCCCCACTTGGAAGGCTGCCCACGCCATGAGAGAGACCTGTGTCTAGTTAAATGTGTATCAAAATTTCATGAGTTTCATATGTCGAATCCATGCCTACCCTGCTGAATTGACCAGTACTGTTCAACAGGGGTATGACAAGGGCCACACGTGTAATTTTAGATGTTCTAGCAGACTTGTATTAAAAGAAAAGTAAGAAGAAACACATGAAATGACCTTTAATAGTGTATTTCCTTTAACCCAGTAAAGTAATGATATTATCAGGCCACCCGGTTATCAATGTAAAAAATTACTAGTGTGATAGTTTACATACTTTTTTCATATTAAGTCTTCAGAATATGGTGTGTATTTACACAGCACATCTCACTTTCAACTAGCCTATTTCAAGTACTTATTACCACCTGTGCCAAGTGGCTCCTATGTTGGACAGTGAAGAGCCACATAGTGAGTCCTTTGGGGGAAAACACCTGTCTTTTCTTCTTCGATGTATCTCTACTGTAAACATCTTTGTGCCTGGAACATGCCCTATGCCAAGTCAGCATCCAGTACTGACTTCTGTTGCATGGATATGAACTCCATGTTCACACTTGTGCACAAGCCAGCTTACCTCTGTCTACTTTTCTTGCCACTGTTACTCTCTTCCTTTCTCAAAGGTTGCCCATTTACCCTCTCTTGTAACCCTCAACTTCTAGCTGGCACCTTCCCCTTGCTGGAATCAGTAAGAAACTCGTTCACGCTGCACCAGGTAATTACTCAACTCAGGGCTGATGTGCCTTCGGGGTCTCCCGACTGACTGCCTTTGGTCCCAGACAGCCCACTAATGAGCAGACACTGAGGGATTGGAAGCAGTTAAAAGGAGGCAGCAGAGAGTGAGAAAAGGTTGACAGGGCTGGATTTATGTGAGGAGGTTGAGAAAGACGGACTGGGTGATGCACAGAGAAGGCTGAGCTACGTGAGGTGTTCATACTGTAGCAGGCACATGAAAGGATGTGCTGAGAAGGACAGGGACCAATTATGCTCATTAGCCAGGAAGCAGGGCTTGATCTCTGGCGGGACAATTGAGATTATGATGGAGTCAGAATTCAGCTATTAAATGGTAGAGAAGAAAGAAGTGGCCTGTGGCATCAAACACACTTCTGTTCAAACTCTACTGTGTCTACTTACAAACCCTGTGACCTTGAGTATGTTACTTAATCTCTCTGGGCCTTAGTTTTTCCATCTCCAAAATGGGAATAGAGTTTCAATCTTACAGGTGATCTTGAGTCTTCAATGACATAGACTGTATCTTCCCCGGGGCTGTGTTTGGCATTATAGATGGCATTTTCTTTCAGCCCCTTAGGATCCTGTGAGGGGGTATGCTGTGTGGTGTTGGCAGGGGCTAGGGACTCTCAGACCCTAATTACAGAGCTCAGTTTGGTCATTGGGCAGCTGGAACTTACAGGGAAGAGAAGGTTTCTGGATGTCTTTGCTTGTCTCAGAAAATAGTAAACTCATTTCCAAAGTTAGAACACATTTAATTTGTTAAGTACTCTAAGACCAGGTAAGAAAAATTCAAAAACAGAAAGTTGAAAGCAGGAGAAATCCATTCTGGGTGGGTAGGTGCAGGGAAGAAGGAAGGAAGTATATCTGTAGGATGCCAACTATATGCCAGGCACTTTTTCATATACACGCTATTGGATTCTGCAGTGTAGCTACTGTTAATGCCTCCTGCCGCTTCTTGTAACTGGATGAGAAAACACTTAGGCTTTTATGTAACCCGCCCAAAGACATGCAGTCAAAATTTGGTAACCAGGATCCAGATTCAGCTCTGACTCTGATATCCAAGCTCTAGTGTACTGTGCTGTTTCCACCGAGGTTACCACACATCGATCACGGTCTGCTGTGCACCAGATTCCAACAAAGAGACTGGAGAATGTAATCCATCTTAGGAAGGGAGACTTTCCTTCTTACGTTCTCCTCCCTCTCCCCAGCTCTTTGGCTGGCTCTGTAAGTCTCATGAAATCAGACTGTCTGGTTTCAGTGTTTCCCAATTGTCTGGAGAGAATACTGCTAATCGTATGAGGCTGTGAGAAAGTTGTTCTCTTCTCAGTTCTGTAGAGATGCTCAGTTTGGTGCTATTCCTTTGGACGTTTCCAATGTTTGTTCCATTCTTTTGAAACAAGGAGTGAGGAGGGCTCTGGAACAGAGTTTCGGTGAGCAGTGTTATCTACCTGGAATGTAAGACTGTTGTCATACTTACGTGGCATTTTTTACTTAGGGTGACCCATACTGATTTTTCCATTTATGTGACGGCATAATTTCCTATAATTTATGGTAAATTATGGTAAAAATGACTTAATTAAATATATGAAGTCAGTGATGGTATATGCCATATACCGACCTGGCAAAATTTTAACAGTGGGTCCAGAAATGTCTGAAGTTTGAGAAACACTGATTCAGGCCCATATTGTCCCTTTATGGGAGGGACCAGAGTGGAGTCAGAAGAAGTTCCTCATTTGCCTGCAAACATCCATGCTCAGAGTCACCTTGGAGCAAGACCTGCATGGGACTTTGGGACTTGAGTAAGCACTTCTGTCCTGTCGTGGAGAGTCACTTACCATCTCAGAGCTTTGTTTCTGCTGAATTACACTGATCTCTGGGGTTCTTCAGTAGTTCCCAGATTTCTGTGGGGATATCCTCCCTCCATTTACTCTTTGAGCTCAATAATTCTTAATGGGGCACCTTGTGCTCGAGGTTGGGAAGTCGGTGGGCGGAATTAGGGAATGGCGGAGACCGTGGGAAATGTTACCACTCATTCAGTCTTGTTAACATTCTTTCTTGTCTGAGTGACTGTTCCAACTGCCCCACAGAACAGGGTTGGGGGACAGCTCTTTTGAACCGATATGACCTGAACCCCTCAGAGGATGGTGTGGGGATGTATCCCCTCGGAGAGCCGACCTTACTCAGTGTGGCTCTACACTGAATGCCTGGTTTGATTTTATCAATGGCTGTAGCTCTATTAGCAACTTCTAGAATACAAGAACACTGTTAGTCCAAGTTGTCCTGTAAATGGACATTTAAGTGTGAATAGCATTGGGTCAGTTTTCTAATTCTTTTCCATATTTAAGCAAAGCTAATTAGAAATTTTAATTAGCTGGAACCTAGAATTGCAGCAAGACCTTATATTACCACAGCCTTATAGGGGCTGAGACACTTTTTCTCTAAAGGGCAGGATGATAAATATTCTAGGCTGTGCAGACTCGAGAATGGTAGTGTGGAAGTGATCATAGACAATAACAGAAATGAATGAGCTTCCCAGTGTTCTAGAAGAACTTTATTTATGAAAGCAGGTAGTGGGTTGGATTTGGCCCACAGGCCACAGTTGGCCAAATTCTGCTCTAAAGTGTATTTATTTC